CCATGATTTTAGATATCCATCCATTTCTTTTAGATTTTCAAATTTAGTAGTGTATAGATTTTTAAAAATATTCCCTTATAATAGTCTGGATCTTTTGGGTGTCTGTTATGATGTTTCCCCTTTCATCTCTAATTTTGTTGATTGCTCTTTCTTTCTTTTGGTTAACTGGGTAAGAGTCTATCTTGTTTAGCTTTTCAAAGAACCAGCTCTTAGATTGATTCTTTGTATTGTTGTCTTTGTTTCTATTTCATTAATTTCTGCTCTGATTTTTGTTATTTCTTCTCTTCTGCTGGGTTTGGGTTTCATTTGTTCTTGCCTTTCTAGTGTCTTGAGTTGCAGTGTTAGGTTATTTATTTGGGCTCTTTCTAATTTTTTAATATAGGCACTTAGAGGTATAAAATTCTCTCTTGGGACTGCTTTTAAAGTGTCCCAGGGGTTGTGTTGTGTTACATTGTCCTTTTCTTTAAATTCCAGGAATTCTTTTATTTCTTTCTTAATTTCTCCTTTGACCCACTCATTGTTTAGGAGTATGTTGTTTAGTTGCTATGAGTTCGTGTAGTGACTAGGGTTTTGTCCAGTGTTGATTTTGAGCTTTATTGCATTGTGGTCCAATAGAATGCATAGAATTATTTCAATTTTGTTTGTTTGTTTGTTTGTTTGTTGAGGTTTGTTTTGTGGCCCAATATGTGGTCAATTTTTGAAAAATTCCATGGGGTGCTGAGTAGAAAGTGTATTCTTTGGTGCTTGGGTGGAATATTTGAAAGATGTCTGTTAGGTCCATTATATGTATGGTATCATTTAATTCAGACATCTCTGATATTCTTTGTCTAGTTGACATGCCTAATGGAGACAGTGGGGTATTGAAATCCCCTACTATTACTGAATTGGGATTAATCTGTCTTAAAGTCCTCTAGTGTTGTTTTTACAAATTTGGGTGTACCAGAGTTTAATGCATATATGTTCTTGGTTAATTGTTCCTTTGATCAGAATGAAGTGACCTTCCTTATCTCTTCTGATTAGTTTTACTTCGAAGCCTATTTTGTCAGATATTAGCGTTGTCACCCCTGCTTCTTTCTTAGTGCCATTTGCTTGGAATATTCTTTTCCATCCTTTCACCTTAAGGTAGTGCCTGTCCTTGAAAGTGAGATGGGTTTCTTGCAGACAGCAAAAAGTTGGATTTTGTTTCTTAATCCATTCACTTAGCCTGTGTCTTTTGACTGGGGAGTTCAGTCCATTGATATTTAAGGTTATTATTGAAAGATGTGTCTTTGTTGCTGTCATTTTGATTGCTCTTTGTGTTCTCTGTCTAATTTTGTGTTTCCTAGATTATACCTTTATTTATTTTCCTTTGTGGCCCCTGGGGTATAGTTGTTTCTCTCACTGTATTGCTTCAAGTTTGGTTTCATGGACAGGTATTCTTTCAGGCTATTTGTGTCATGGAAGATTTTTTTCTTTCCCCCTCAACTAAAATAGACATTTTTCCTGGGTATAGTATTCTGGGCTGGCATCTATTGTCATTTAGAACTGGAAATACCTTGGTCCAGGCTCTTCTGGCTTTCATAGTTTGCATTGATTAGTCAGCTGTAATTCTGATGGGCTTTCCCTTGTATGTGAGTGTGTTTTAAAGATTTTTTAAAAACATGTGTGTTTTTTAAAGATTTTTTTAAATGTGTATGTGTGTGTGTGTGTGTGTGTGTGTGTGTGTGTGTCACTGATCCTTTGGTGTTCTATGTGCTTCCTGTACTTGTATGGAGATGTCTTTCCTTAATTTTGGGAAATTCTCTTCTACAGTCCTGTTTAAGGTCTGGTCAGCACTATCAGCCTGAAATTCTTCTCCTTCCTCTCTTCCTATGATCCATACATGAGGTCTTTTCATGGTATCCCACATCTCTTATATATTCCATTCCTGTGTCTTAAA